TTTTTAAGTCTTGCTCAGTATTCGTTTACATGATATGACGACACAAATCTTATCCATGAGCAAATGCGGGAGGGGGGTGGGGGGAGGGAAGGGAGCAAAAAACTAGGAACACTCACCTCGAGCGATTCTTAGCACTCGCATGACCCGAATAATAGTCGGGTTGATTGGCACCTCAGAATTCATCTCTTCCAAAACAATTCCGACAATTGACAGCAAAATGATGAACAAGTCCAACTGATTCCACCTGTTAACAGTAAGAATCATTGTTACTGAGGGTGCTTTCCATTATACCAAAAAGTCCGGAGATTTCGGTCGGAATTCAAATGGAGGGTCTGTTTCGGTTTATTTGGGGTAGTCCACTTTGATCGGTCGGACCGTCCGGACAGTAATGCGCCGTTCTATTGTGACAAATCGTTTCATTGTCCTTCTTCTCTTCAGTAGATTTCTGTAATGTGGGGATTGGGGAAAGGAATAGAAAATGGCAAGAGCCGTTCCTCACGATTGGCCCGGTGTGATCGGAGAGTGTCTTTCCACATTTTTCCTTAGCTAGTCCAACTGGTCTCTGATAGGTCGGTCTGGCATATTGGAAAGCACCCTGAGATGAACATTGATGACGCATTCTGATGGCCACTTACAGCATTGTAGAAATAGACGCAATGAGCCATTCATACTGTTTTACCTTTCTTTGATGTATTTCCTGAATCTTAGAGCGTAGATCTTTAAAACGCCTTCCACAATAAAGATAGCCGTGAACACGTAATTGGCATACTTTAGAAACACACTCATGTCCTAGAAAGTATAAGAATTGGGTAACGAAGGGATCAAGTTAGAAGGTAAATAATTGCGCTGCACTCTGAGCTGAGAAGCAAATCCATAAACCTGAGTACAGGAAACATGCTAGGCCTGTAAGTCTGAGTAAGATCTGATTTATGAATTATATACGCTAGAACCTGTCACCACCTCTAAGTGGGGGCTAAATTGTATTTTTAGAACGTGTGGACGAGTTGCAATTTATGCAGTCCGCATTAAACATTTAATGTTCAACCGGCGGGATACGACCAATGCTTTCTGAAGGGTCCCTGTTAACCAGTACAAGGTCCCATATAGCACACCAAATAGCTGCTGTCGGTGCACCCGAAGATGGGGTCTCATGCAGCTGCAAAGCAAAATTTTCTTTTTTTTTTTTATCTTATAATACTTTAAAGGTCGTCCATGCTCACTTTTCAAGCCTTATGTCGTATCAGTTTCTCTCGCTCGACTCGCACGTTGTCCGAGAAAATATGGATTTTCTGAATGCTGGCATGACATAGCAAATGGTAGCAATGCAATAACAAAATGGAGAGGAAAGCGTCTTTCCAGAAACGATATCTAAACTTCAGTTGAACTGAGACGCCCGAGGGACTCCGTCAATTAATTTCAACTGGATTGTCAGCTGAAAGACGAGTGACATTGCAACCCACGTCACTTCTAAACAATCCCTCCTCCCCCTACCCCAATAAAAAAAACTGACGGTAAGCCATGTACAGGTACATGTAGTTGTATCAAAATACACAAGGCTGTAGAACACAAGATTACTAATAAGAAGATTTCTTACCTCGGGTTGATTGTAATGCTCCATAGCCATACAGATGACATTTAGAACAATGACAGCCGATATTCCCAGGTCAAAGTACCCGTGGGTACAGATCCGGTGGAAAAACCGCCGAGGTTGTGGGAATTCTCCGCCCTCTTCCTTGTTGGATTCTGAGAGGGAAAAAAAAATGACAAATTAGACCAATTTTTTTGAGGTCTTGAGTAAATGACGTTTCTCTCTTTCTGAAATAGAATCTGAAATTCAATTCGAAGTACAAGTAACTGTACAAAGATCGGTGTAGCGTTGACAATTACGCGGTACCCAACAGCCAATCCGCACAGAGCACACACAGGTGTCTGTACAAGAGGCCATTTCCGAGTTACTTTTTGCCTCTGTTTCAAAACGAGTCCGTACAAAAATGAGTTTGGTTTGCATGAAAATGAACCTATAGTCGAAACACATTTTCATACGAATGGTTTGACACTATGACTCGTTTTGACACAGAGGCAAGAGGCAACCCTATTGCGTCATCAGTATGGCATTTGTCTTGTAGAGTCCGGAAAGGAAAGACATCTTATGACTTATTCCAGCTAAGCTAACTAAAACTAGAACCTGAATTAGCTACCTTGGGAAAAGAATGATGGTTCGTTAGCTTATTTGAGATTTAAATAAACTGCATGAACCCACCTGATCGCAGTTTTTTAGTTTTTTTTTTTGTTTCTCTGCCAAGCGATCTTTTTCTATCATGTCACGGCACTTTTGGAAATTTTCCACAACTATACCAACCAACATGTTGAGGACCACGAAACCGGCCGACAACAAAAATGCCACAAAAAACAGCACGTTCCACTTGTTGTTGTTTCTTATTGGCTGAAAAAATAAACAAAAACAAAAGCAAAAAACGTCAACAAGCAGTGTTTCGTGGATTTTCGCTGTGTTCTTTTTTCTGGGACCTACACGCTAAAGAGACACAATCACTTTTTTCCAAAACTGTTACTTATAAATGGAGTAAACGTGTACTAAATTAACAGTGTGAGACCTCTGAAGACATTGCAGAGCGTTGAAAATTAAAGCCGTCATCACAATTGTCCACAGATGTAACCCATTTCAATATTTGCCATCTTTAGCCATCCTCCCTTCATATCATTNTATTCCAGCTAAGCTAACTGAAACTAGAACCTGAATTAGCTACCTTGGGAAAAGAATGATGGTTCGTTAGCTTATTTGAGATTTAAATAAACTGCATGAACCCACCTGATCGCAGTTTTTTAGTTTTTTTTTTTGTTTCTCTGCCAAGCGATCTTTTTCTATCATGTCACGGCACTTTTGGAAATTTTCCACAACTATACCAACCAACATGTTGAGGACCACGAAACCAGCCAACAACAAAAATGCCACAAAAAACAGCACGTTCCACTTGTTGTTGTTTCTTATTGGCTGAAAAAATAAAAACAAAAACAAAAACAAAAAACGTCAACAAGCAGTGTTTCGTGGATTTTCGCTGTGTTCTTTTTTCTGGGACCTACAAGCTAAAGAGACACAATCACTTTTTTCCAAAACTATTACTTATAAATGGAGTAAACGTGCACTAAATTAACAGTGTGAGACCTCTGAAGACATTGCAGAGCGTTGAAAATTAAAGCCATGTCATCACATTTGTCCACAGCGTGATGTAACCCATTTTAATATTTGCCATCTTTAGCCATCGTCCCTTCATAATAGTTTCATATCATTTGTATGTCGAATAATGTTCTACGAAAACAAACCAGGGAGGGTACATTTCCTCATCGTAGCTGGATTGGGGGAATGCTAACCTCCCAGAGGAGACCCCAGCGGAACATTTTCCTGGAGCCGGGCATCTCAATCATTCTGTCTTGACTGTACACCATCCCCGAGGGGGTACTCACTTATATGGGCTCTATAGGTATATGCGGCCCCAAAGGGTAGGGTTTTTCAACCGTTTTGGTCATAAATAGGGTATCGCGTTTTGGCCATTTTGGTCATAAATAGGGTCAGTGGGTTTTGCACTCTAGTCTTGAATTGGGTATGTTTTTTGAGGAAAAGCTACTCTTGACAAATTATCTTTAGGGCAACTGCGCCGGCCACAATGGTCATGAATAGGATGTCGGATGTTTGGTCAGGTCATAAATAGGGTAGGGAAAATCGCCGATTTTGGTCATCAATAGGGTAAGGGTTTTGGGAAGCGGGCCGCAGAAGCCATCCAATATTTCTGGGAGTACCCCCCGGGATACCAACACAGGGCTATTTAACTAATCCTTTAAAGTTCAATAATCCCAGTTACATTCAATAACGTCTTTTATGTGTACCTGTTTGTCGATACCGACAGCATCTATCCCATCATACATTATGGTCACCCAGCCGTCTTTAGTTGAGAACACGAACAATGTCAATAACGCCTGTCAGAGAAAAGGAGAGTGAATCATTTGACAACTGAATGTTTCTACATACAGGCCATTTGCATACGATATCCGGAGCTGTTTTAATTCAAGGTTATGGTATTTTATTTGTCACAATTCGGGTATAAGGTATCTAGTTTCTTTTCCTGGATTTCAAGTATTTGGTATATAGACATGAAATAAATGTAAATAATTTTAGGTTGTTTTATGAGTCATACATCACGTGTTTTTAATATGAATGTAATTAGACAATTTGAATTTATTCTATTTCCTTTTTACTCGATGTAAATTAATTCTGAAAAACCCATTTGGGAGAATAAATAAAATGCATTGTATTGTATTGTATTGCATTGCATTGTTGTTAGCATCACACGTTTTACAATTTTGAGGTATATTGGTATCTTATGGGGAAAAAAATCGATTACCTATTGGTATCCCAATATCCCCCCCTGGCCGGAGCTCTTCACAAGAACTCTCTAATAGGATTTAAAAACTATATTAGTATGGTATCGCTCGTTAACCTCCCTCTGCTCATGTGTGATAACGTCAAGTTTCATGGCAACGTAACTGAGCTAGAAATGAAAAAATCGCTGGCTTGTCGCTTAACCTCCCCCCCCCCTAAAAAAAGGAAAATAAATAAAATGAGAACAAAACAAAACAAAACATAAAAAACAGTTCACCTTCGCCAAGTTATCAAAGTTGTATTCCTTGTTTTCCCAAGTGTATCCTCGATGTAGACAGTCTTCTTTTGTTATCACAGTTGGATATTCGGCTTCCTTGCAATAGTGGAACTTTCCTTTAAACAACTGCAAACAAATTTCAATTACGTGATCAATGAGTGCAACGTTATAAAATCTCTCAAGCACGATTAATTGTCCCAAGAAGTTTGACTCCCATGAATCGAAAACAATTTTGTGTGACCTGGGTTTATATTTAAAGAATGTGTTAGCTAATTAGATATGTTACAGTTTTTGAAAGCCAATATCTCCTTCAATATTACAACGAAATGGCTTAAAATGCTACATGTGACTTTCTCAAACCGGCCTATAAATGTTTGAAGTCAACTGATATCTAGTATGACGACTTCGGTTCGAGTCGTATGCTGATGGGGAATAAATGCAAACAGTGACGTTATCAAAGATCCTCCCATAAAAACGCTGTCCTTAATAAAATGACAATGCAGTATATTACATGTACTAGTTACAGTAATTGCCTTGCAGATTTTTACCTGTACGCCAAGAATGCCAAAGATGATGAAAAATGTCGCAGCTATAAGCACAATGTTTCCAATTGGTTTTAATGATGATATTAATGTCTCCACGACAATCTTCAGACCGGGCGCTCTACTGATGACCCTGACATAACAACAACACAAGTTGTATTAATTAACGATTGTTCTTTCGGAACAAGTCTGCAACTCATAAATATTGCAATTTTCTTCAGCAAACGAAAAGGCAACAGTTCGCCCCGCTCCTCCTCCATTCAATCTTGAGTTTGTCACGCCAACCTTTCTATCATACTTTAACTTTCAAAATTCTCGCTACAGAATATTTCGTTTCGAAAGTAGTATTCTGTCTGAAGGAGTTTTGACGAGTCTTGCAACTGGGTAAATTGCCTAGGAGTCAGTTCGTGTTCAAGACAACTTCCCTAAGTGTTAAAGTAGTATAGTAAGCTAGATAAGACATTGACTCGCCACAATTAGCTGGAAGAAACGTATGTCTTTAAATTGCAGAATAATCAAAGAAAGTTCGGTAACGTTGTTTTCAGTGTTAAACATGATAGATCTGATCTACAACTTTAGCATTTAAGGGGCAGTGTCATTTCTGGCTGATTTCTGGAAGTTCTCTTTCCTAATCTCAATATATTACTGGAAGATGCCTCTAAATATACCAATAAATTGGATAAAAAGACTGTGGGAGCAAACAGAATCGGTATTTACCGGGAGGAGTATGTTATTACAAGGAAACAAGTTTTCTGTCTCTTGACAGGGTATCAAGAAACAAAAGTGACAGCTTGGTGAAATTTTGTCATTGAACAGTTTTTTTCCCTTTTAGTTTACATTCCTTAGTTTCAACCACTTCTGGCAAGGTTTTCCTTCCATTGCAAAATAACAAAGCTAGTTTTTAAAAAGGTTCCCCGCTACACTGATTAAAACACGACACATCAGCCTGGAGACTGTCCCTTCAAGCATTTTATAGCACGCAGAACAAAGCACAGCTTGGCATGATCGAAACTTACCTTAGAGGTCTAAGTGTTCTTAGTGCTCGAAACACGCGTAGCACACCCAAAATGGAACTTTGCGTGTCGGTTGTCAGGGAAACGATGACGTCAACCCAAGACACGATCACCAGAAAGCCGTCCATAACATTCCATGCACTGCGCATGTACGTATCACGTCCAATCCAAAAACCAAGAGCAATCACCTGGAGAGGGGAGGGTGGAAACGTAGAGAGCTGGTATAATTTATCACTCTGGTTGCACTGTGGGGAGGGGCGGGGGACAAGGGTAGGGTGGGTATTGGTTACAGGTGACTGTTAAAACTTTGTACAAATATGGCAAAGGACAGCAAACGATGATGTTGCTGGTATACGCAGGATCTGTAACAACAGTTTTGATCAGCCAAAAATAGCAATAAAAAAACAATTTAGCAAGGCTAATGACACATGCAACCGTGTACAGTTGTTTTGACCTTGTTGGGTGTCGTCAGCGGGATGTATCTTGGCTCTCAGTTTGGATTCTATCATGTCATTGTCGCGAGACGCTTTTGGTATCAGCCTTGTTTAATTGCCATTCTGTTAAAATTTTACCTTGATAATCATTTCTAATGTGAAGATCGCCAGGAAGATATACATGCAAATAGTAATCACTTTCTTCATCTGCAACAGAATGAACAGCCACAAGGTAAAAATGGAATAAAAACAAACTACACGAACAGGAAAGAGAATTTATGTTAAACAGCGAGCAATAAAAGAAAGTTCTCTCTTTCTTTTTCCTTGACCACTTGAATATCTCATCTTCTTATCCATTAATTAGCAAATTGAATTTACTACTTAAATAAACAAGCAATTATATTTTTCATTTTGTTTGGTTTAACATGAAGAGAGCACCCGAGGAAAAAATGGCAAATTTTACCAAGCGATCAAACTTTGCTTGTCAATTCTAGTAAGTTTTTTTCTGAACAAACCACAATTAATCTAGGAACTCGTTGAATAGTCCGGTGATCCTACTCGCTTAGTCTCTCGCTCAAAGAACTGAAAAATTCTCCAAAAGACATTTTTACGTTTACACTTACTCCAAGGAAAATCCCGCTTAACACCGAAGACAATTGAATTAGTGTAGGTACCAGTATGAATACGACTGTGATTTAAGATTACAATACGAGTAATATTTGAAAATTCTTTCAAAATTGGACGAGCCTTTTTCGCGCGCGTTCACTGGCACTGCACTGCAAATTAAATGTTAACGCTAAATCGGCCTGTTCTTTTCAATGGTGTAATTTTCTCAGTCATATAATAAAGACTGTAACAGATCGAGATCAATGTGGCTAACTAACCGTGCTGTCGCTGGGTAGATCCGGTCTTTCAAGGGCCATAACAATACAGTTCAAAAGAATGAAAACCAGTACCACGCGGTCAAACCACTTGTTTCTGTACACCGTCACCATCCATGTGCGAAACCTGTAAAACAATTGTTATTCACATTCTTTCAGAACATGGTAGTTTGAAATTCGTCCGTAACTAAAACATTTCTGTTCAAAGATAAGTAAGTAAGCAACTAGCTAGTGACTAAACAAAGTATTTTTTGCAGCAGTATATTATATTTATTTTCATGGGCATTGCCGACTCAATGATCTTATCGTATTTAGGGCGTCAACAACAACAACAACAACAACAACAACAACAACATCTTTATTTCTCAGTACAAATTATTAGAGTTTCGTCCTTCGTTCTAACCAACGCAATGATCAGTTTTTGGAATTCTTGAACATCCAGAGAACCAAACTAATTTGTTTTCTAGCTTTACTGTCGAGCTTCGCGAACGTATAAAAAATTGAGTTTCACGTAACCCTGTGGATTTGATAAACATCTGATTTCTGTGATAAGTATCATGTAGACAAGTATAAAGATTAAAGAATATCATCTACTTATCAAATAGATTCCATGTCGCAGTGCGTCTGTTCAGTATTAGCATAAATCTACTAGTTTTCTATCACGAATGCTGTTCTCTGATTGACTACGCTACTCACTATCTATTCTGCGATAAATAGTGAGTAGCGTAGCAGTGTGCACTTCATAGTGTCAACAAAATGACGGCCGCTTCATAGCGTTTTCGATGTGTCTGTGAAGATGATTTAGATAATTTAATTTTTGAACGACTAGTAGATTTATACTAAAGCAATTAGATTATTCGCTCTCGATTTCTATCGCGCGATAGAAATCTCGAGCTCACAATCTAATTGCTTAGTAGATCACAGGTGACGTCAAAATGTGGTAAGAACAAAAAAATGGCACACGAGGCGATTGCCGACTCTGTCACCGATGGCAGAAATTTGTGTCCTCTGTGGTTGGTGATTCTCAAATCAGTTTGATATAGTGTCGGGGACACCTTATAGCTGCGAGTTGGCCGTGAGCTGTAGTGAAAGAGAGCGCCTGTGTTTATTACATGTAACTCTACTTAGCAGTTTCAAGTTAATAGTCCACCATGACCAATTATAGTGGTGCTTTCTACGCATGCGTACCTATTGGATGGCGAAAAAAGAAACAATGACCAGTTCCTTCGCTTGTGACAACAGGTCGAGCCGTCCTGGATCCTAACGACAGCCTCGTCATCCTCCTTGGCACTAGTCTGTTACAAGAAAACGAAGAAAAATATCACGCCATTTGTCGCAAATTCATCCTGGGTATGCTTTTTAATATGTGCTCGCTTTTGCCCCATCTTGACCTGCGTCGCCCAGTCCAGTCACATATGACTTATAGCTGCATTCTTAAATAGCGCTATCACGGGATTTGTCCTCCTACATGTCTGGTCAAAACGATGCTTGAAACATGACTAAGCACCTTCGCTCTTACACGTAACGCGCCTCCAACACCAAGATGAAGATTTGAGTGAATCACTTTGGAATTTTTCCTAGAGACAGGATAGAAACTTGGAACTAAGATTGCGCGACCTTTTCAATCCGAGATAAAAAAAAAAAAACCTATGCATGCATAACGTAGACCATTATTTTTAGGATTACATTGATGTAGATAATTCTTTTTAGGGAGGTCCTTTTGGCTTTATCATGCTTATTATGGCGAGCCTTTATCTATCTATATACACCTCGTTTTCATCATCAGAAGTAATACATCTTTCTGCCTGGGCGGGGTTAGCGATCACCATGGTTTTTGTGTCACCAAATGACAGGGTCTTACGAGTGACGTTTGGCGAAGTGCTGGCCGGGGAGGCTGGAGCCGACGCGTGACATTCCTAAGAAAAAAAACCGCGATAGATCAAATTGCGCAAAATGCTTGAATCATAACTCAGTACCAGTCTTCAATAATGGATCGATCCGATGAAGTTCGTGGAATTTATTAAATGTTGCCTTGCTACTGAAACACTGCAAAAGTTTGATTTTTACTTGTTAATTAAGGATACAAATTATGCGATAAAATAAATTTCAAAGCTCAGAGGAATCGTGCAAACACAGGTCAAATTTTATCATCAATGTCGTTTCACCAATACTTTCGAGAGTTTTATGTGAATTTCGAAATTTGTTTTCGATATCTGGTGTTGATAGAAATGAGATTTTTTGAGAATATTTTTAAAATAGTCGCACAGAAGTTTGCAACACAGCGTAAATAAACTCAGTATAAAGTTTTGGTCCATTTGTTATTCGAACATCTGGTGAAATCCTTCTTAATTTCTCCTGAAAGGTCCGCATTTTGACGGTTAGCCTGAATAAGTGACTGGATGCGAAAACCCTACATCTTTAAACTCACATCTCTAAATAGTGAACATTTAGGTGACAAAGAAGGGAATGAGCAGCGCATATGGTGCACTGGCTCAGCGGTTTCCTTATAATCATCTCTTGTCGTGACGTCATGGGATGGTGTGGGACTCACGCATACCCGTGGGGTAACCATGGGATACGGGGCCATGCCTTTGCACGTCTCGTAGTCTCCGTCGTGCTTTATGGAATAAGATCGTGATTTCACACTCCAACTGCTACTACTTTTTTCCTAATAAAGAAAAAGAAAACAAAAATGTGCTTTCGTCTTTCAGTGTTGACAGCACGAGAGGACCAGAAGTAATACTTCCAATAATATACATGAAAAAATTACTCGATTCTGATTGGCTGAGAACAGTGCAGTTCAAGTGTAACACCAGTGTAAATTACACATCGTAATTCTGGATTATGATTGGTTGAAAGACAAGAGGAAATTTCCTGAGCCAATGAAATCATGAAAAATGACGACGGAACGTTTGCGCGGAAACTTTGAAAAACTCACTCGTGCAAATTAATTCCAAATTAAACTCAAAACCGTATGATTACCTACACAAACCCTGGATGTTATACTAATCTAATTCGGGCTATTCCCAGTCTTCTCAACATTTTGGTTGGTCCCCCTTTGGGTAATGAGACGAATAGTGGGAGTAAAGTGTAAGAGCACAACAGAAAAACTCGGCGTCTAAGGCTCGAACTCAGTTGCAGACTTATCGATCCGCACGCAGTCCAACGCTTTAGTCACAAGGCCACTGCGCCATCAGCAAAGCCTCCCTTTATCTTTATGCATTTATATTGGCCGGCACCTTAGGCATCTTTGAATTTGCTTACCCGAGGTACTTCGACATCGACGGCCGGAAGCTTCTGGGCTAACAGAAATAATAATCTAACTCTTTCTTAAGGAGTAAGAGAGTATGTGTAGTAAAAAGGTAAAGTCTGCGTACAAACCAAGCAGCCCAACAGGTCGGAACTTATCCCGGTTTCTGTTGCATGAAGTGACCAGGAGTATGAATAAACAGTCACGTGATAAATAGCTTCCAAAGGACACGTGAAGTAATCTTACCGGTTGATTGGCAAATCCTTCAACCAAGATGGCGACCAATAAGTTAAATAGTATATAATTCCCGATAGTCATCAGCAGTATGAAGTACAGCGCAGCCCATTTAGATGTAGCTCGCATCCCATCGTACATGACCGTGTTCCAGTCCTCCTGGGTCAACACCTGCATTAGAAAGAAAACAACATCAGTCTGAGAATAGAGCTGTGGCGCTTTCCATTGAACCAAAAATTACCGAGCTTCATTAGTGGAGCCTAATGGTACGGAAATTTCGTGGGAAAGTTTCCGGAAATTCCGAACATTGCCGACCATTCAACTGAGGAAAGCCAAATGGAACGGAATTCTTGGTAACAAAGTTTTGAAAATTTGGGTTTACCTCGCGAGATTGTGCTTTTTTCTGTAAAAATGCTGTTTCATTCGCTACTGGAAACTTCCGAAAGCTCAAGTGGGAAGTTTTGCTCGAACAGAAAGCACTCCTAGAGACCCTGGAACAGTTAAGGCGCGGCTTTTGTGCGCTTGCTTGGTTTTTAAGTAGGTCTGTAGTCAGGTTGATATAATAACAATCTCGTGGTAAGGACAGGTGATAGTCGATTGTGTGACCCATCTGTCTGGCACATATCTACGATGAACAGCCACAAGGGAGCTTAAGCAAACCATGACGGCAATTACAACGAGAACGTCAAAAAACAAAAGGTTTAATGAGCAGAACAGTGACTATGCACGTGCGTTAGAAATCTTTGTGCATTTTGTAGCAATCTTCTGCAAAACAACAACGTGAAATGACTAAGTTCTGCGTATTTTGGAGAACGTGTGAGCCACGATAGTTTATTTTTCGTATTCCTTTTGGACTTATCCTTAGCATTACATGTTTACTTTGAGCAAGTTTTTAGACCGATCAGCCTAATTGACAGATCTATAGAAAACTGCGAAATTCGAAGGCTAACTATAAATTCATTTTTTACCAGACGTTGTCCTTGGCGTAGCCGTCGTCATTCCTTAAGCTCCCTCATCACTTGGCAATAACTATTACCTCAGCAAAAATTACTGTGTCGCTAGGACCCTTACCTGGAAAACTGTTACCAGGGCCCAAAACAGGTCATCAAAATTGGCCCGTGCTGCGGTCTCGACCCCATCCTCATCCGGGAACATATACTTGCCTCCAAAGAGGTTCATTCCCAGGATACTGGCCGTGAATATAAAGAGTACCAACAGAGCTAGAAACGTCATCACGTTGTCCATCGTGTGGATCATTACAAGCAGCTGTCGTCTGAGCGCCGGCAGAAAACGGACCAACTTGAATATGCGCAGTAAACGAAAAGACCGCAGCACTGAGATACTGCTGTCACCTCCACCAAATAGTTCCACGATGCTGCAAAAGTTTGAAAAAGATCTGAAGATGAATGTCAATTCACACGTTTCCCCGATGTAAAACGAGTTTAGCAAATGTGAGGACAGGACTTCGATTCAGGGACACCTTTAATTTTTGTTGCAGTTAATCATACCGAGTTTCGTTGCACTTCAGTTTAATAGGCCAATTTCCTAGTTACATTTTGTCGAAACGAGTCTTCGTGCAGAACCACCATTTGTAGGAAATGCGTTTCGACTACAGGTAATTTTTATACAGCTCCAACTCATATTCATATGGGAAGTTTTGCAAAAAGACTCGCTTTGAAACCGAGGCAAAACGTAACCCAGAAATAGCCTGTTAAAGCTTGTATTTTTTTCAGAAAAAATGATATTTTTAAATTCGGCTGTTTGTAAGAAATTAAATAGCAATCAAATCAAAGAAAATTTCAAAGATCCCCAAAGAGGAGCACACAAACAAAAAGGGGAAAAGGTTGTCATGTTATGAAAGACTTTGATTAGGTTAAATTGCTCACGATGCCCGCGCGTTAAGTCGGCGCTTCAAAAATAAAATTAATTCTGGCCTTCGATCTATATATCAGGTCAATCAGTTTTAAAACACTGACCTCATTACGACGATAAAGCCGTCAAACAAGTTGAAAGGATCCTTAATATATCCATAGGGACCCAGGCCCATCAGCTTGAGAAGCATTTCAAAACCAAATATAGCCGTGAAGATGTAATTCAGAATTTCCAGCACCTCCGTCATCTTTAAAGGCTATGAATACAACAAAAGAGAACGTAAGGCAAGTTTGATTGCATGGAGTTGTTCTAATAGCAATAAATACAACTAACAATAGTAGTGTTGCTCCTCTGTCAACTTTTTTCCCTGTTTTTTTTTTTTTTTCAGGAAGGGCCTTCAATTTCTTCACCTTCACACGTTAAGTATCTGCTTATTTGCCAGACGTTTTCAAAAATTTTCCGGAACCCATTTCTTCACCTCTGTAAGAGAGAGCCACTGTGAAAAAAAGTTGTCTTGCTCAAGAACACAACACTATGACAAATTGAGTCTGCCGCACCAGCCTTGATATTGAGAAAGATAAGCGCCTTAAGAAACTATTGCGCTCAGAATGTTTGCTTACCTGTCCATGATATTCAATACCCATGCTCAAGGTATTAAGGAATATTGCACCCATGATTATGTACATAAACCATTTACTATCCACGCTATTGCGGCACATGTGACGAAAACGGGAAAATGGTGTTTTCTTGCGTTGGGCGCCTTCTTCGACCTCATCATCAGTGTATTCGCTCTCACTGCCAGCATCTTCCTCATAAACGCACTCAGATTCATAATCCACCTTGATGTCTTCCTCCACGTGCTCCACTGCACACGTGCAAACATTATGTATTGCTGACGCCGCGGCGGCGCTAGCCGTAGCCGTTGCGGCTGCGCTAGAAAGTGAAGCCGCTGATAAGAAAGTGTGCGCTGAGATATCGGCCACTGCAGATTTCCCATTGATGGCCACAGCTGCAGTTGCTGTGGTGATCATTTCCCCACCAGGCGCAGAGGAAGACGGTTCTTTCTTCACGGAACAAGAAGATCCCGTTACAATAGAAATCGTTGGTATTCCTCCTGCCTCGTTGCTGTTTTCCTGTTTATCGATGTTCGGTACTTGCCCAGGCACAGTTAGGGTATTACCAGCCGGTTTTACCGGTTTGGATTGAACGCGTCGAATATCCACCGAAGATGTGCTAGGTGTAACCTGCTCACTTCCTGGATGTACGTTGGAAAACTGCTGACCTATTTTACCGCACTGACATCCGGGATCTGTGCAATGCACGTGATGGTGATAATGATGATGATGGTGGTGATGATGGTGATGATGATAAACAAGTTTTTTTTTCCTTCTTCGGCGTTTTCTGTGCCTTAAAGTTTTCTTCCTTTTGCTTTCACTATCGCAGTATTTCCAGTTAAATCGTCTATGGATTCTGCGTTTAAACCTCCTTATTAAGTGCTCAATGTACTTAAGTATTTCCACCCAGCAGCCATCTTTTCCATACCGGCTGCTTGCTATTGTACTCGTGCTTGCGCCCTCTCGACGGCGGCTCGCGCGTAGGAGTTCATTTTCTCGCTGTTTTGTTTCTTGAAACTGCGTTGTAATGACGACTAGACACAAATTGGTCATAAAATACGAAGCGATCTGAAATTGAAGGAGGTGATCGTTAGTCATGATATCAACCTGCAAATTCTCCTCATTGATCTCCCATACATTTTTGTTTATGAGTTGTGAGAGTTTTGTTATTGATATAGGACGATGAACCTCGGCCCTCATGTCCAATGTTCTCACATAATAACAGGAACTGTATCGGTGGAGTCTTAAAGGTTCTTGCTTGATACAGCTTAGTGATTCCTTGCCTCTTGTGTCTATATTTAATAATAAAGAAATCGACGCTTCTATTCTGCTGTCACATTGAGAACACGATAGAAAGTTACGAAGCACGTACAAGGTGTACATGTGTGGGTATTACGATTTATACCATACCATAGAAAATACAGCCAATCAGAATACAGGGAAGCCGGTGTATACTCGGCGGTATTACACCCAACTTTCCAATCGTGCGTTGCAGTGATTCTGTTGGCGACTCTATTTTCTATGGCATGGTGTCGAGTAGTCAAAAGGCGAGTTTGTATACCGCGCTGAAAAAATACAAGTGTCAAGTGGAACATTCCATGGTATACCACGAGAAAGTGTTACATAACTAGACAGTATGTATAAGAATGTCTCGGATAGACTAATAGGATGTCTATAGTGTGACTTATGAGACGGCTTTTAGAAGTCCCTTCTAATACTTTGAATACACATCGTCCATTATATCAAGGATAACTACATGCCTGCTGCGATCCAACGTTCGAGTTTCGAGTAACAGGCTGAGAGTACTTACTACGATAAGAATGACAAAATAAATCCAGTTCCACAAGCCATGCGCGTCTTGAACATAATACATGATATCTGTCCAGCCCTCAAGTGTAATAACCTGAGTACACAAGGCAGTAACGAAAAATTACAAGATGTTTCATGCATAGCATGTTTTATTGTGTGTTATTACTGATGCAGAACCCATCTAGGGCTACCTGGGCAACCCTGTTAACATATTATACCAAGCTTCTATAACTTGTCAGTATATTAAAGTCTCGTTTGGATAATAGGACCAGATAAATTTAGAGTAAGCCTTGATTTTCAAAAGCTTGATTAATCAGGGAGACGAACCTTGCTCGTTTAAAACATTATTTTACTACTTCTTCTGTTAGCAGTAATAAATTATCTATATGTTTATCAACTCTCGTCGTTTTATTTTCTCCTACGGTTAATTTTTTCGTTGTTGTGTTCCGCATATTATAACCTTAGTTTGAAGATTTTAATGTACATCGGGCAATATTTTCTAATCTGAGTCTCGCTAGTGAACAATTTTAATTTTTTAACCTGTCTGCTTAAAAATTTAATTTATCGCTGTTCAGTGTCAAAAAATCAGATGTTGATATTTACCTGAAATATAGCTACCCAGGCGATAAAAATGTTATCAAACCCAATGGCTCCCCAGGATGGGTTATCGCCTTCTTTTCGGCACTGACTGTAATATTGATTCCAGTTGACGCAAGCATTGGAATTATTTGACCTCCTTGTTTCGTTTAGATATGCTTCATAGCTTAATGTGCACGTTCGTCCAGATATTTCATCCTTCAGGGGCGGTATTGACTCACTGTTGCAGCTTTGCATGCCTGGAATACCCTTCATGGCACATATAAAGTCAGGTTCGTCAAAAGACGGAACGTAAAAGTCTGTCAAGTTGTAACTGGAAGAAGGCAAGATGAACTTGTCAACATTTAGTCATGAAATTAGGGCGGTTTTCAATCGAGTGTCATTAAAATGACCAAACCAAAGTAATCACTCAAGCCAATCACAAAGGACACAGACAATCCAATGAACCAATCAAAACACAACGTATATACATATAGCTGACGCAAAACGCGGGAAAACGTAAGCGTGCGATCGGGTCACGATTGGTTTTGGCTTTACTTCTGATCTCATGAAAACGTGGCGCGAGTTTTTTAAGCGAATTGCGTAGCGCCTTAAGTACAAAACCAATTACTTTACGATACTCAAGCGAAAACCGCCTTGTCATACCAGTTGAATAAAGTTATAACCCTTGAATAATTTTAAAAAGTAATCAAAAACATTTTCGCTCTTGCTTCTTTTTTTTTCTTCCCTTTTTGAAGTCAGATTTCGCCTATCGACAGAAAATTTCCCTATTTTCGTTTTTCTTGAGCAGCATTATCGAATTTGCGACGTTTTGAATCCAATTTCCGATCATTTACATTATTTTTTAGCTTCCTGAGAATCCAAGATCGCAGATCCGAGAGAGTGGTTTAAATGACGCCGCGTAACGTCACAAGACGTCGAAGGAATCGAAAAATACCATGCTAAGGGCTAGATACTAAATGCAGAATAACTTTGAAACAAATATTGGACGAGGTTAAGAAAAATATTGTAATTTGTCTGAGGCGAGCAGATGAATTATTTGGCCAAAGTCGAAGGCGAAGGTAAATAATTATCGTACCGG